TACTAAATAACAAAAAATTCAGATATAATTAGATGATAGAAAAAAGGAAAAAGAACATACACATGGATAAAAAAAAATCAAGAAAACCTAGGCTTAAATACAAAACAATAAGAGAAAGAGCGGAATCTCTAATCTACAGAACCGTACAGTTTAATTGATTTTAGAATTGTTGAAGAAATGCTTAATACTCATCAAGGCTGTTATTAGGTAAGTAAAAGGAGTGCAATGGCGAGGGATTGAGAAGGATTATGGATAACCGATAAGGAAAAACTACGGAATGTGGAAAAAATGCAACAATGAGTCTCGAAATGAAAAAAACGACCAAAATGGCCATTTGTGGTAAAAATGGTAAATCACTTGCCTTTTATAAATCACAGAATTACATGCTGGGTTATCTAGAGAATTTTTTTTAATGGAACCTATTTTATCAGCGAAACCAACAAGTGATGAATTGAAAACAACATTCGATATTCCCTAGCATTTTATCATAATCGAAAACTCATCTCACTGAATTCAATTTTCTTCACTGAAGAGGAAAAATTGAAAGGAATTCAATTATTATGATTTATTAAATTTAAAAAATTATTAAAATTATTAAATTATAATATATAATTATTAGCTAGCAATCTGAGGATGATTGCCTAATAGGAATTATGAGTAAAGTGAGAGTTTGCAGAAATGTTAAAGCTCTCTCTAGAACTATGCTTGTGAAAATTTTATATCTCGCTAAACGTTTTTGCCAAAAGAACATTGCTCTTGAAGATCCATTTTGTACGAATCGAGTCCAAGTAGAACAAAAATGAACTTGAACGCAATGTTTTACAAATTAAGTAATAATCGAAGAGAAACTTTGATATTGGCAATTTCTTACTTTCAGAACCGCCATCAGTACAACATATAAGTAAAACATACAACATACAACATACAAGTAGTACAACACAGTCAACGCCATAAGTATAGTTCTCATAATGGTTTGATAATGGATTTCAGAAATATATTCATTAGATTTCTAAAATTATCGACAAAAAAAGTGGAGCAACTTTATTTCCAGTGGCATTGAAATAAAATGCATAACACCAATTGCCAAATGACAGATTAAACCATATTTCATCTCTGGAATTGATGCAATGCATTAAGCATTGAGACGATGTAACCTCTCCTGAACTTTAATTAATGTTTTTTCTTTTGACCCAATATTCGTGGAATTACAACTTTTTATTAATTAGTGAGCGGATGGAGAGCGGTCGGTTGTGATCCTATTTATTACGAAATGTATGTTGTCGATTATTATTATTTGTTATTACTATTGTTATTATTTTATTATTATTGTTATTTTATTATTACTATTAATAATTATTATTAATAATAATTATTAATTATTATTATTGTTATTAATTACCATTATTTATTATTATTTATATTTGTTATTATTATTAAATATTAAATTATTTATTATTCATATTTGCATAAAATTTATACAATATTTCTGGAATCTTTCGTCGAAATCCTCAAAAGAAGTTTTCTTAATTTTTTCTCATCAAACAAATTTCCTACCTTTGCGTTTGACAAAGGCAAACCTGTCATGCTATCAAAAATCCAGGTGGCTGTTGTGAACCCACTTGTCCCCAAGTAACTATGGCGAAAGGGTCTGATGTTTTTACACGGCGACTTCATCTTCCTACACGTACGATACTCCTAGCCCAGTAGTACATGCGATTAGTATACAATCCGAGCATAAAACTAAGGCTTGTAAATAAAATGTGCTCAAAAGCCGAATCAATTATTCGAAACCTGTCAAGGGCTCTCTCTATGCGCGAAAGTGTCGTAGCAGCATGGAATGCCAGAATGCTTATGGACATTGCAGGCAAAGCGATCTATTTAAACCGTGTGGATGTCGCTTGCTTGCCGGTGGTCCACATTCTTCACTTCGGATCTCGAGTAATTACTAAAACTGGTTCCAAGAGGTACTGTGGCACTTCAGAGCGAAATGGCGTAGGGATTGTCATGTTTGAAAAGGCCCACTCCGTTTTGATTAAGTGGAAACCAGCAAACAACCGGATGGCCTATGCTCGCTTTAAAGGTAAGTTTTATCTCTGTTATCAGTGTCTATGTTCGGACTTTGTCAGCAGATGATTAAAAAAGCGGGACTCCAACTGCTAACAAAGTTTCTACCGAAAACAAGGTTTCAAACAAAACTTCATAACATAGTCAAAATCGGAGAAGACTGGAATGCGCGCATGGATCATGAAGCCGCTAAAATGATTGACAATTGACAAATATGGCATCGCAGGCCGGTGCGCCAATGGGGAACGCCTTCACTATGCCGAATAGCATGAACTTTTTATTTACTAATAGAAGATATCTAACCACGTGAAACTCTCCGGATAACTACAATGATTACAGTCAGTCGCCATTGTAAGAAATCAGATAATCGTTCCTATTGGGGCGCTGAAACTGTTAATCGTCATGGATCAGATCATGTTATGGTTCGAGCCAAGATTCGCATAAAATTGTCAAGTCGTAAGAAATACCACCCCCAAGATCTTTCAACCACCTCAGATTATAAAATAATATAGATATCAGCGACATCTTTGGAACCGCAGATGAGTCTACTGATCACAACTAAAGGCTCGTCTCCGAAAGACGGCTACTTCTATATTAGAATAAACTAGCAGGAAGTGTGCTATTGGGTATCGGAATGAACTGTCTCACTGTCTGAAAACGCTGCCAAAGCACGAATGTCAAAAGATCCTGTCTACCGGATGCTTCGAAGAATTGCAAGAATTTTGTCTTTTGACTTCCCTTAATTAAGAAATTTGCGATATTCAGGATCATATTCATTAGACACCAGCACAGCGGAGCAGAAATCACTACTGGAGTGATATGGCCTCGAAAATGGAGATGACGGCTGGATTAGGCGATAATAGGAAACTATTCCGCCTTCTTCATAAAACAATTACAACTCGTGGAATGGCCAGTGAAATAATAATAGTGTGCCTGTTAAGAATATTATGGATCGCATAATAAGATGGAAGAAATTTTTTGAGGCCATGAAAAGATGGTGTCCCAGAGAAGATCGACTCATAAAGGCATTTTATCAGTGTACATCGGCACAGATCTATGTATATGAGGAACAGATTCCTTCGATATAAGAACTATCGATACTAGTGTCGGTCAAAGCTGCGTGCTTTCCCCTACAATATTCAACTATGCGATAGACTGGATAATCAACTTCGCTTGTCAGTATACTCAAGAAATATCGAGATCAATCTAGAGCATCGTATCACAGATGTTGAATGTACTGATGATGATGGTTACTAAATAGATAATGTAGATAATGTGTCAAAAATTGCAGCGAGAATTGCAGAAATCGGAGGACTCAGAGTCCATGAATAAAGCGAAAGCCTTTTCGTTTTATATAGAAGAAGCTGATAAAATGCCTATTTCTATCAATGCCGCTTGAAGGAGAGCCGATTTTAAATGCATTGGATCCACTCTAATCCCAAATGGCCAACTAAAAGACGAAATATATAATCCGAACACCAGCAGCTAGAAATACATTCTTCTTTTTTTTGGAACCGTCATAGCTACAGTTCGCCCAATCTTGCTATATGGCTACGAAGCATGTCTGATGAGAGTGAAAGAAAGTTATCTGCCTTTGACCATTTTTGTCTAAGGTATATTTTACGCGTCCGCCGAGCGGATGAAATATCACATAATCGCATCGGCCTTCGTTCAAATACCACTTGATAATGTTATCACAGAGCGTCGCCCACCGCAAGAGTTGAGTTGACACATATTTACTTACTTGCTCTGTGTTGGTTGGCATCAAAAACGAGGTGGGCCAATCAAGACATGGATTGATGCGGCCAGAAAAAATTTTGAACGTATAGGGGGACTAACAATATATGGACTTAGACGATGGAAAAAGGGATGCTTTTATTACTGTCGACGATGGCATCAGATCCAGCAGCTTTGAAATCTCACTCTTAACGGAGTTTATCCAGTAATGGTGAGAATTGTCAGAATTATTGCAGAACCATTCGACAACTGACTGTGGGAATTTTTAAATTAATTTCCACTACATCTACCGAAATGACTACCCCTGGCAAATGCAAATACATAATCCGCATATGTTAAAACAAGCTAGTTAAAAATTTGTATACCAAGTTGGATATTACATTACAAAAATGTTCCTTGCAAAGTTAATATCGCTGCAAACTAATAAATTCAATAAAAGATTCAGATATTAAAATCTCACATTTAATCCATTTGACAACTTTTAAATATCATTCATCTTATTAATACTGTCTCATTTTTAATGCATTTCTTTATATTGTTATGCTTATTTCTCAAAACTCCCTTCCATACATGACGGATAAACGCTTCAACATTTATTAGTGTTCACTCCGCTAATTTCATCATTTCACCTTACCATTCATAATTAGAAATTCCTTCACCTCTGACCCATCATCCTGAAAATAACCTTAAGGGATAAACATTTACAAACGAAATTTACAAAAGTAATGAAAAAATAATCAACGCCTGAAGTGCGAAAACAGAAACTTGACAACTTATAAACAGATCAACAAAAAGAAACCAGTTAACAGATATTAAAATGGAATTCTTGCTATGAATTACCTATATAATACAATGTTTATTTATGCAACCATGAACAAGATATGGAACATCACTATCACTAAAACAGCGAATAATTTTTTAGAGCTGCGTTTCGCGCAATTCGTTTCATAAATTTTCATTTTTTTTTTCCGTTTCAACACACACATTTCGACTCACATCACTGAAAACTTTAACGACAACTTTATCAAAATCTCTTTTCATTTTTCAAAACTGCAGATTATTCAGTACAATGTAATTTAACCATATCAAGATCATTGATTTTGATAATCATTTGATAATCAAAATCATTGACAGCATGATAAACAACAAAAAGGCCTTTAAAGTAGGCTTAAAAAAGACTTTCAAAGAAAATTTAAGAATTAAGACTTGTTTTGGTCGGGAATATTAGAAAGAAATTTTTCATATAACTGAGCTTTCTTTCTTATTAAAATTAGGGTTTCCATATCTTTTTGAGATGGTACAACAACGTGCTGCACGAATGTTTGCTGACCATCTTCACCAACTAATATCGATTCCTTTGTATCCAGTTCATCATCGGAGTCCTGGAAATTTATTACCTATTAAACGAAAAAAATTTTGAAACGCTAGAAATTTGCAGTTTATGATGTTCGATCTCACTTGCTCAGAGAGAATTCAAAAATATAAAAATATAAAAAATTTATCACCAAGATTATAGAAGAAACCATTAAGTTTTATTGAATTAAATCACTGTGATACAATTACCTCAATCTTATAAATATCCAAATCATCCTCGAATGCTTTTTTCGCCTTCCAGGCATCCCTGTTGAGCTCCCAATCCTGAAATGAAATAGTGTGAGGTAAAAAACAATGTTTTTAAATGCACCTATACTTCGAGAAAGCTAAAACTGTGAATTCAAATTCATCAATTAAGAAAAACAAGAATCTTCTTCGAAAAATAATAGCAAAATGAAGCATACCTCTTCAATCAGTGAGCGTGCTCTTACTTCTTCATCTTCTTCCAAAGGAAGAAGAAGACCATCGTCGTTATCCATATACCCATAATAATCAATTCCAATACGCTTCATTAGCTCAATTCGACTTTTCCTAGCAATATCTGGTTCAGCCTTCTCGAAAAGTTCTCTAACACCTGGCAAATCCTTTGCTGCTCCAAAATATTTGTAACCCCTATTTCCTGCAACCTCTTTTCCGTCTTTTTCGAGTTCTTTAGGTGTGTTATGCCTTAAAAAAAAGTAAGATTTTAAAGCAAGGTTATAATTGTAAAACAATTAAATTCAACATTGAAAAAAGAAAACTTAAGAACTGAAACTATTCTACCTCAAAATAACACAATATATACCTATAATCCGGTCCTCCAAGAACCTTAATTCTATTCTCCCAAGCGTATTTCACCCGTAGCAATTTATTAATTTCATCATTCAGATCGCGGATTTTAAATTCTTCCAAGCCTGGATTTTGTATGGCGGTTATCTTTTTACAAATTTCCATTGTGACTTGTCTACGATAACGTTCCGCATCGTCTGAATATTCCTCATTAAATGCTTTAGATATTTAAAATTCATGAAACATAAAGAAGTGAAATTAATATCCAATGAAATTATTTCATTCTTAATAACCTATCAGTTAATCGAAAAAAACCAAATTAAATAAATTAATAAATCAACCAAAATAAGTTACAATGTAAACAACGTAAACATTATCCAGAATTCATGATGAACTTACTAACTGAAGAACATTCATTGACATCATTGGGACGCTTTGCAACTGGACCCTTCTCTTCTTCTTCTTTCATTCGACGCCACCGGGCCAAAGCAGTCATCGCTTTTTCTGCATTGCGCGCCTAAGAAGTAAAATATAATTATCAGAATACGATTCGACAATCCATAATTTCCAGGAAATCTAGGTGTCAAGCAACATCGAAGTACTTTTTTTAAAAGGATATTTAATTCAATACATACTCATAATACTTACCATCTGTTTTCCCAGTCATAAGATTTACGAAAAACCGTTTCAAATTTGTTGCCTGCCGTTCATCAACAAGAACCTGTATCAAAAAAAAGGAATATTTATCATGCACTACTATTTATTGTTATTTATTGATAAGCAGCCATTCATAACCTAATACCCTTTCATGTTATTCTTTATATTCTATACTTCAAGATCTTTTTTCAGCGTTTCAGACAGAACTTCAAAAAAAATCTGTACAAGGCTGAGCAAATTATTGCTTAGGCTATCAACTCAAGCGTCATATTTCTGCTATCCTTGGCTAAATTAACTTTTTTTCCTACTGACTGCAATTAAATTACTAATTACTACTAAAATGGAGAAAAACGAAAAGGAAAAACAAAAAACATAAATTTCGATAATAATGAATGCGCCACAGAAAATCCAGTCAAATGTGAATATGAATTTTATGAATATCTTCAATATGAATTTAGACCATTCCATTCAGACAAAGACACTGGAGAAAAACACTTAAGCCTGATACAATAAATGTATAAAGGTGTAAGAAATGGAAATAATGGATGCAATTTGAGCTATAAATAATATACACAAACAAGATGAAAAAACTTTATTAGTAAACAAAAATTGTCTATGGGATGATTCATTAATACCAATGAAAACAAAAAACAAGGCAATAAGACAATTTTTGTAAAATCCGTTACTTTAGCAGAATATCCGACCTAAAAAAAGTCAGGAAACGACAGAGCATTTCTTATACCAAATAACACGTCATTGAAAAAAAAATTTTGGTTCAAAAATCATAAATTCCCATATGAAATAGCGCACCGCATCTTCACAATTCTGTAGCCAATACCAGAAGAAAAAAAACATCACTTCCACATTAGCCAGATAAAATTAAAAAAGAGATCAAGAAATTTCAACTGATACTTAACGCTCAAGTTGATCCGGAGGAGTTTCATTCTCTTCTTCATTATAAATATTATCGGCCATCTGCCAAATCTGCATGATATTGTCTTCGGATACCGAACAAACAACCCATGGCTCATTAGGATTCCAAGAGAAGTCAGATATCTGTAACGATAAGAACTAGCATCATTGAAAAAAACCTAATCTAATTAATTTCAATCGTACCAATTTTTAAAAAAACGTCAGCAGTGGTAAAATAAAGATTGCTTCATAAATAGGGAGAAAATAAATTTCATTGAAATCTAAAAATAAATTTTATTTGAGAAAAATAAACCTTAGCAGTATGTCCTCCGTGAATGAAAAGCAACTCAGCAGGCCCATCTTCAGCATCTTCTGGTGTTTGCTCTTCACCAATTTTACTCAAATCCCAAACATGCAAACGGCGGTCAGTTCCGGAAGAAGCAAGAATCGTTTCATTATGAGGAGACCACTGTACTTGAAATATTTCATCCTTATGCGATTCAAATGAATGTAGTTTCAGTTTAAGATTTCGCAAATCCCAAAGTGCTACTGTCTGCAAATTAAAATTTAGAGACAATTGAACCTCCTAAAATTAAATTGATATTGTTCAATACTTGCCCTTAACAATTATTGAAATATGACTAAAACTTGAAATTATCTAATTATCAGAAAAATTTTGTTTAATATTTAATAATTTCAGAAGCATAAAGCTAGCCTTGTCAGCAGATCCAGTTGCCAATATGAATTCAGAATAAGGATTGAATGAAAGACAATTCACTTCAGCAGAATGTGCCTCCACGGTATGTGCTGGTTTTGAAGAGGAGCTGTTACGAATGTCCCATATCATCAACTTATGATCATCGCCAACCGAACCAAAAACTGAATCATGTAAAACATGCCAAGCGACATCTTCGACAACAGCGTTATGGGCATTAAAAATCTGAAACAATTCTATTTAATTATTTTTGTCTTTATCTAGATATTTGTCTTTCCTCCTTTTTGATGCAAGAATCACTTGATATATTTGATGAAATCTTCATCTAAAGCTTTTTTTTTACTGTTTCAATTTTTTTCAGTTTTCATACCGTTTTGGCATCCAAATAGTTAGCATGCATACTGGCCGCTTGTACATCCCATAAGCAAACAGTCATATCATCTGATGCAGAGAGCAAATGTCCCACTTGATTTGAGTTCCACGACAACCCATATCCTAAAATACGTTTTATATACGTTACATTAGGGTTTTGAAAATGTCTAACTCTTACCCGACCAGAAAAAAAATCAATCTTGCGAACAGCCGCACTAAAAAGTGGAAGTGACCAATAATAAAAAAGAATAAAAAAAAAAGGCGAGAAACCTTCCTTCGTATGACCACGAAGTCGCAATTGAGGTTTACACATATTATCTGCACTCGGTATTGAAGGATGTTTAGTGTAATCAAAGATAAAAACCTAAAAAATGGAATTTAAATGGTATAAAGCCACATATAATGGCTAAATGATCGAGTGCTGGGTCAAGCATCTTGTATTGTGTGCCTCTGCCTTTTGAACAGCCAGTGGCTCTGGGATCCATCAACCGTTTGTCTTGTACTGCATTTACCGAAGACGATTTTTTGACGAGAATAAACCATATTGAAAATCAAATTCGAGCAGTACAAAAGATCCACGTCTCCATGTGGTTTTCTGGTGAAATAATTTTTATATGTCGTATATATACAAATTTTGAAAGTGAAAACTGAAATACTTCACTGTTTGGCGATTTAGTCGCAAGAAGAACAGGATTTTGTGGCATATATCGTGCTCGATTCACTTCTCCTTCATGATTTATTTTTAATTCCACATCGATTTTCCCGGTGATTGATCCAAATCCACCAAATTCTTCAATTATAGGCAAAGGCCTATTAATACCTATGACAATGAAAAAAATTTCTACATTCAATTTTATGAATGTGTAAGGGACTACAGTGACTATATAACTATAAAACTAACTATAGAATTAAAAATTACAAATGATGTCTAATAATTTCATCATAAGATTAAAAAAGGTGCGCTTGATCCCTTTCATTAAATTAAAGGAATCCTATTACTTATAGCAGTCTGTGAAACCAGCGAATGCAAAAAATGCAGAAATTAAATGTTATTTGGAATATAGTGGTTTTAAATATAAAACGAAAATTTACAAACCTCCTCTCTCGGTATCATATTTAGATGCATCAAATTGCGCATCATCATTTGGTAGAAGCAGTTTCGCAATAACTAAATGATTTTGCTCATCTGATGTATGCGTGCCCAATATTAGTCGATGTGTAGTGTAATCACTTCCTTCCAACCTTAAAACCACTATTTATCAAAAGATAATCAAAATATTATCTGCCATACACCTCAACTTAAAAGAATGACAAGGTAAGTGCATTAAATATTTCCAGCTTGACTAGAGGAAAAAACGCTTCTTTACGCCAGGCAAAAGAAAAATACCTATTTACATCAGGTAACCACTGTACTGTCAAACTTGGCCACTCTAGAGCATGAGTCATAACCTGAAAATTGCACAAAAAACAGAATATTTTAAAATTTTGAAAATATTTCCAATATGTTCCTAAAATTATTGACAAGAAAATAGTCAGATTATTTTTAATTTTAATAAATATGTTCCTAAAATTATTGACAAGAAAATAGTCAGATTATTTTTAATTTTAATAAATTTATCTTCAGCCTAAGCAAATGAACACATGTTATACAATATAAAAAATATAAAAAACAATAAAAAAAAGTCTTTATAATAATCCGATATTATATGAACATCCTTTATGGGCAAGCAAATGACACCAGACATTTGATATCATTTTTCTCGAGAAAACTAACAATTTAATAATCAAATAAAGAAAATATAACTTCTAAGAAAATTTTTCACAAAAATCAAATAGCCACATACCATATCGTAAAGAAAAGGGGTATTCTTCTTCCAAATTTTATATTCTTCATTTATTAATCTTTCCTCATAAGCATCATCCGAAGTCATCCTCACATGAAAAAAATATCAAATTATTGTACGTCGTTAAAATGGAGAGTTTACAACTAAGCTAAGAAAAAAAAACCGCATAAGCAAGCATAATTCGAATATTTAGATATGAGCTACATGTAATAAAAAGTGAGATAATTAGGACACTGTTTCTCTCTCAGATAATGTGAAGATACTGCAAAATATAAAACCTAAAAATTTTTGAATTGATTTAAATTAAAATAAACTGAAAGAAGTTGTAATGGTTTAAAAAATCCTTTTCCCTCCTCTTGTTGTGGATATTATAGGTAATCGTCAACCACGAATCCCATAGCAGAGTTCTAGGAGACTGAGGGTGCAACATCTTAACTAATCCTTGCAATGCGCTCCTCTAGAGAACCCTGATGCTCTTGAAATAATAGTGAGGTTCACAGGATCTTGGCCTTATTATACTCTTTGATTTTTTGGAAAATTTTCCATTTGGTCTTGGAAAGGTCTAAGCCATATAGATATTCTTATAAATAATTAGCCTTTCAGTGTATGCTGTTCCCGCTTGCATTTTACATCCAGCCGTTAAGTACTTCCTGCAGTTTCTGAGACTTTTTTACACAATCTGCATCCTTAACTTGAGTAATGTGGCAGATTCCTAATTCGAGAGATCTGGTACTTGCTCTCATGTTGCTATGATCAATACCACAGTTTAACCTAGTTTTTCCTAACCACTTGTAGAATTTCTATAACCGCAACATTAGCTATTTGCCGATGTCACATCCCCTAGAGGGTCTATCTTGCCATGGCACTTCCTCCAATGTATGTAATGTATATTGCTATTTCAGACATTCTCTCATCTCATGAATGCTTCGTTCAAGACATTGCCTGGTATACTTTGGGTATTACACTTAAACTGTAAATCAGCGCATGGTAAGGAGTTCGCTGGTCTTCATATCCGCATTCTCCACGTCTTCCTTTGACCATCTCACTAAGCCATATCTGACAACTGGCAAGGTATTTGCGAAGAGCCAGACAATCACAGATCCAAGCTTACCTATATTCAGACTCAGATGATTGAGCTATGGCATGAACCATTCTTAGTTTCTTTAATCAGGTGTGGATCATGTTCCGACGGTGCGCTGTTCAGCTTTTCATGTTTTTGACCTGAGTTCGATGCAATCTTGATGACAACTGGTTCCTGTTCTGAGACTGAGATCTTTTTCTCAGACTCTACTTTCCATTGGTACTATGAATTTTCCTTTCTCCTATATATTTCTCCAATAATGTTCAATTTGTCTTGTTATATTGTTGCGTTACAGTTTACCTTGAACGGTTCTTTAAAGAACAGCGAGTCTATCATTTTGTACCTTGCTTCTCTAGGATATCAACTTAGTCTAATGGCCAGTGTTGAGTTCTACTCATCGAAATAAACCATCATCGATATATTCAACTAATATGCCACTATATTTCAATTAATAAAACTTCATTAGCTGAACATGAAAATGGAAATATTGGCTTCCTGTTTAAGGTTAGGGCTTCTGATGGAGTGTAGCCCTTATATTTTCCAAACATCCGGAGGACACTATTCTTATACTATTCTTAATCTTCACACTCTTATGCAATTCTGTTGGCTGGTTTCTCTGCATTGTGTTCTAATCTTAGCCTTATTTTTTAGGAGCGACATGCATTCTTCTTGATTTTATGTCATATATCCGAATTAAATCCGAATTACCTTTATGGAACCATCGCGAAATCAACATAAACACGAAAATCCGCATGGTCCATATAGCTCCAATTCGCTCCATCTTGCTATATGGCTGCGAAATATGGCGAATAAGAGGGGAAGATATTAAGATGCTATTGGCCACTCATGTCTAAGATATATTTTACGTCGAGCGGATAAAGTCGTATATGACTGTATCCGTTCTAGCTCAAATATGGTATTAATAATGCCACCCGTATTAATAATGTTATCGCTCAGTGGTTAGGGCATCCGTCGTCCACCACAGGAGTTGACACATATTTCGTTACTTGCTAAACCCCATGATGGTTGGCGTCAAAAGCGAGGAGGCCCAGTCAAGACCTGGACTGATACGGGCAAAAATGATTTTAAATATATAGATGAACCAGCAATATATGGACTTAGACGATGGAAAAAGGAATGGCTTCTAATACTATCAACGATGGCGTCGGAGCGAATAACTTGGAGACGTCTAACCTTGAAGCAAGCGTAGCAAACCTAACAGTAATGGTGAGAGCTATTAAAAGAAGAAAAATATCCGAAATATAGCGGCTGTGGCGTACATTAGTTCAATGGTTTTTTTTATAATGTTATCAGGAATCGTTGTGAGGACTCTGGTCACATTTTCACATACACATATACACACATAATTTCGGTACGATAAACATGAACCAAGATAACTTAAATAATTATAAGAAATTTAACAGTTTAGGTTTGGAACGGATTTTAAACAACTTCCGAATAAGTGGACAATGCTAAACGGAGTTACACATGTATGCGCCTCCAGTTTTTTCTTTCCCCTTCCTTCCATTCGCTTATTCATCTACCCACTGCCAAACTATCATAATATTTTTTACTCTACTCTTTTTAATCGTAGCATTGATTCCTCACAAACAATTTATGCAGAATGAAGGATCTTTATGTTGTATCCAACCGCTGCACAATCTCCAATAAATTAAGAGTCCACATTATGAAAAAATACCAAAGGCTATACAGTTTTTGCAACTGAAATATAGTCAAATAATACGATAAAAATGTATATAATTTTTAAAATTTTAAATTTAATAAAATTATAATGAAATAACAAAATTTAAAATAAATTTCTAAAATGCGCATTTATGTGTATAATACATAATTTTTCCCAATACAAAGACACAATTCAGTTTTTGCAGCACAAATGTAATTTTTTTCAAATTTCAATTTCAGGACGACAGAAACAATGCGCGCAACCTCCCTTCCTTGCAAATCACCGAAATAATTTTAAAAAACAAAAATCATCACATCAGCGAGAATAAAAATTCCCCACAATTTCGCTACGGGACAAAAACAGGATTTTTAATCAATTGAATTTACACAAATTACAGCTAAAAATATGCAAAAGCCCAGAAAAATCCCATGCTGAAAAAAAATGTATAAATGAATTAGTTATGAAAATAAATCGGCCATTTCAAATATCTTTGTTCGTGATATTACTCTTTCCAACTACTATAATACGTTAAGACACAGATGCCAAGGGTTTACTGAAGAGGATAGCTTGCAGCATGGTTTGGCTCCAGTGACTGGCAGAGGTAGACCTGTTATGCAGTTCCGCGAGCCCATCTGTTTTTCTACAACCAGTTCGATCTCTGACGAAAGTGTCTCATCGTAACGGCCAGTGCAGCTAGCCTAATCAGAAATGCTGAGTACTAGAAATTCTAAACCATGTTACATTCTCTCAACAAGATCAATGCTCCTAAGTTGTCGAACGATATTTTTATACTTATGTATTCACTAGAGATGTCGCATCTTCAGCAATATATAACATTGGATCTAACACTTCAGAGATATTCTATTAAAATCTTCTATTAATAATTACCTCGATCATATAATCATGGCTCATAAAATCCATTAAAAACACAAAAACAAATCAAAAGCGAAACAAAAAAAGAACGAAACGCAACCGATCGGTGGTGTGTCAACGCTTTAGTGGCAAGTGACTGCGAGAGTCAAAAATGGCTTCGCCTCGATTCCAGCCGCATGCTCATCGGAAAGTGTTATCGAATGACGAAAGAGAAATGGAATAAGATGACTTAGCGCGTCTTCGATCTGTTCGGAACTGTGGTTTCAGCCCAGCAGGAACGGGTCTGTCCTTGAGACACCTGGGGACGACTCATCGACTCTCCATTACCAAATAATTCCTTGGCAAAATTTGTCTGGTCCAACAAGCGAATCCGACCATCAATGGTAAATGCTTTTGTAGAAAACCGTAATCAACACAAAAAATAAATACTAGAATAACTGCAAAACAGAACTGACTGTCTTTTGGCACAGTTATTGCCTGAAAGCTGCAATTTAACGTTTTGCAGCTGAACTTACATCAACTAAATTTTTTTTGTGGCATGAAAAAATTTGTGGGAAGTTTCCTCATTCCTCATTCTTTTTACAATGGCTGGATTTCTTTTACATTATGATTATTGTTTAGTAGTTCTTGGAAATCACTGCGAATCTTTTGAGAGACTAGTGAAGGGAAAGCCAGTTGACATACGTCTACGCTTTCTTATATAGCGTCTATAATTATTTTTTTCAAAATCCTTGAAATTCTTTAATGCCCTAGAAGGCTTCTCAAGCCCGACTCCACTTATGAATTGCCCCATCGAGGAACTCGCTATTTTTTTGACGCTGCTGTATTCTTTTGCCAATAAAACAATAATAACATTGCTGCATTGATCCTTTTGAGGAACCCTTACATTATCTTAGTGCTCCGCCAAACCTCGTTGCATGTAATGCACGGTCAAGTACACGGCTGCGCCACACAGATTGCACGTAATTTGGCAGTGTCCAGTCCATTTTTGACATTCTTATCGGTGCTATTTTTGAACAGTCGCACAAAAGAATTTTTTGTATGTTCAACAATTTAATTTTTCGAAAAAAAGCATATTCATCCATATTATTCTGGTGAATACCTTTTGTGAGACTCTTCTTCTACTTTTAAAAACATTTCCAGTCAAATGGAGAAATGAAAAGTAAAAATTTTACATATATTTTTCTCATAAAATTTCAATTTTTAGTTTTTTTTAGTCTCATGTTTTCACAGTACATCGTTATATATTATTTTTTTTGAAAAATTACTCATTTCTGCTTAGATTTGCAGCGCTTGCTTATTGGATCAGATAGTCACTTGGCTAGAAATATAGGTGAATTGCCAGCATCACCCGCATTTTTTGAAAAACAAGTTTACTGTAGGAATTTCAACATCGATGTTCGGAAATGATACTCACTTGACCGTTGCTTCCGCACATGCATTATCGTGATCATGAATTCCTTTATTATTTGGATCAAAAATTCCACAAAACGATCGAAATTGAACACATTTTAGTAATAGTTTTCTGATTTATAAGCAATAAATCCATTTCTATAAACCCACAACTGGTCGAAACTTTTTCAATGTATTTATTCGCATAAAATAAATTACTTTTTTACTCACTAGTAAAATTCAAAATGGATTTATGCAAAGTTCCATAAATTCAGAGTATACATTTCATAAAGATTTTACTTCAGCGTTTTACATTGGAGAAAAATCTTAAGCTTGAATTTTCTCCATTTCCCACTCGGATTGAAATTGTTTTCAAAAATAAAAAGTTTCACAGCTCATCCAACTCGACACATTTCTAGTAGTTTACCATTTTTGGTTTAGTTGTACACTAACTGTCTGAGTGATCGTCTGAGAGTTGCTCTGCGATGGAAATATAGCTAATTCCTCAGCACTGTCCAGTTAATTTCTCTAACGAGGATTAATTAATGAATTATGTAGAAGTTGGTAGAAACATGGTTTTCCTTTTTCTTTATTATTACCATTACTGGTCTCTCTGCTTTACTGGTTAGGCTTACTCCGATGGCTACTAGAGTAAGATATCTCCAAACTGTTAAATCCAACGCCATCGCCGACAACAGTAAAAAAGGATTACATCATCAGTGTGTTCAAGGTCTGTGATACTATGCTGTACACTGATTTGTACATCCCTTGAATGCCAACAAGCGATGTCCATTATCCAGTCTATCGCACAGCATAAATATTGTAGAAGAAAGGATGCAGTCTTTACATCCTTTTTCCATCGTCTAAGGCCATATATTGCTGGTCACCTATACGTTCAAAATCTTTGCTGGCTGTATCAGTCCAGGTCTTGACTGGCCCTCCTCGCTTTGTAGCTTTTGTAACAACAGCCTATAAATTTACAAACAAAAAAATTAAAAAAATTAATAGATTTCAAGAATAAATGAATATTCTTTAGCATAACCACGTCGTCATTATATTCGAACTACGATAACAGTGTAATAGTTTCAATTTTTTTCATTTTTTTCCTACTTTCACCTCTATATTAGTAGTGTACTGAGTTATTTCATGTTGTTGTTATTTGCAAAAGCGCATGGTTTTTTTTCGCTCGAACCTCTTCTAAATACAAATGCGGTCTAATCTTTGTACCTCCTGTGTGCTCAGTAATATGCTATTATATGTTCCATAAATATCACTCATTCTTTCCTTTCTAAATACCCTCTTAAACCCTCTTGCATCTTTTTTTAGAAGTTTTTGGAAAATTTGAAATTAAGCTGGACTTCTGGTTTCTTGATTGAGCTTTGCACCGCGCTTGACTTTTTTGTTACTTTTTTGTTTTTTGCTTCTTTATTGCTAATAAAGTAAAAAAAGTTTGAACGTACCTCATTAAATTTGCAAAATATAAAGATATTTAATAAATTTTTCTTGGTTGCCCGCTGATTGCCTGAAAATTTAAAAATTACCAATGTGGATAACAAAAGGATGAGAAAATTTTTAAAATCAATAGATAAACTATAAAAATTTTTTCAATCAGTTTTTTTATATACATATTACTATCATTCACTCCTTGCGTTCTGGGCCAATAAGAAGAGCCTATGGACCATCTGATGGACCGTTTAAAAGTATGGCATAACCCTTCAAAACATTCTAACAGCTCTTACCATTACTGGTTAGGCTGGCTACGTTGGTTGCAAGGGTATAAGACCAAGCTGCGCGATCTGGTGCCATCGTCGAGGATAATAAAAGCCATTCCTTTTTCCATCGTTTTAGTCCATATATTTCTGGTCCACTTATGCTTTCAAAATCTTTACTATTCGTGTCAGTCTGCGTTTTGATTGGCTCATCTCGCTTTTGACGCCACCTGTCACAAGGTCTAGCAAGTAACGAAATATGTGTCAAAGAACATGCCCTAACCAACTAGCGACTCTCTGTGATAACATTATTAATATAGGTGGTATTTGAGCGAAGGCAGATACAACCATCAAAGACTGGTAGCTTCTTAATATCCTCCACTCTCATTGGCCATATTTTGTAACCATATAGCAAGATCGAGCGAATTGCAGCTATATGGGCTGGAGCTTTCTTTTTTATAGTAGTTTCTTGGCAACTCAATGAAGGCAATGGAAAGAATATTTCTAGCTACCATTATTCGAGTTGTAATTTCGTCTTTCGCTTTTCCGTTTGAGATTACAGTGGATCCAAGTTGTTTTTAAACAACTTCTTCTTTGAAGAAGTTTGGCACTTCTTCAACTGGCAATGAATTTATAAAAAGAGGTTTTTTATGATAAAATCAGTATTTCTTGTATATATAAAGAAAAGATTTCATTTTATTTACACTGACGCTAAGTCCGTTTCTTGCTGCAGTTGTCGACACATTGTTTAGTATTATTTGCATTCCGACATAATTAACATTAAAAAAAACTACATCATCAGCGTATCCAAGGTCAATGATATTATGTTCTGGACTGATTTTTACTCTTCTTGAGTGCTGACAAACGATGTTGATTATTCAGTCTTTTGCACAGTTGGGTATTATAAGGGAAAGGATGCAGCTTTGATTGGCGCCAGTTCATATTTAGAAGGAATTTGTTAGTTCCCCATGTACACAAACCTGTGTCGATGTAAAATCTCTTTATGAGTCTAATGATTGTCTCTGGAACACCGTCGCCTTTCGTCACTCTCCTAGGCGCTGTTCTATCAATTGAATCGAAGGCAGCAGCGAAATCGATGAACACGTAACGGTGGTATGCACATATTTGAAGCGTTGTTCCAGCACCATTCTTAATGTGAATATCTGGCCAGCAGAATCGCGCCTCGGTCTAATCCAGTATGATTAGGGCGCATCCTGCCGTTTCGTACTTCCATAAGTCTGCTGAATAAAAAGAAAGCAAAAATTTTGCTGAAATATCTAGTAGGCTGATTCCTCGACAATTGTCGCAGTATGTCCTCATCTTTATTAACTGGGAACAGAATCGCTGTGCTCCAGTCATCTGGTAATATTTCTTCCATAAATTTGTTGAAGTTGCGTTATGAAGGAAGATGGACAATATTTGAGAAGTTCAGCCCGAAAACCATCTTCAGCCGGAGTTTTATTGGCCTTATGGTTAATTATTTTTTCTTCCATTGCCGGCTTGCAGTTGTAAACGTATGGTTCGACGAATTTGTCAGCTATATCCGGGTCGAATGATGATTCATCATGGTTAAGTTTGGCCTCAAGACCTTTCAGCTATCGGAAGCTAAAAGATCCGTCGAAAGTTCAAATTATCGAAACACCTCGATTATGTAGCTGTCAGTGGAACTTTGGAACTACCGATAATACTGGTTTCAACCAAACTTATTCCTCTGAATGTCAGTCAAATCCACTCTAGGATGTGTTAGTTGGGCATCGGATACGGCGGAGTGCAAAATCCAGAAAAGTTGCCCAAAGTAGTCAGACGTTGGCTACCACATGTTTTGAAAGCATGCAATACGGCAAATCGTTGGAGTAATGTGGTTTTAAATATACAGGCAAATGCAGATTAGGCGATAATAGGAAATTGTTCTGCCTCTTCCCATAAAGCAACTATAACTTTGGAAATGATTAGTGGAATGATCCTAAATAATGATGGTGTGGGAAAAGATTTAGATGTGGGGAGATAGAAGGGGAGGAGAAAGGAAGTGGCTTATATTACTTTTCAAATGTAGGGTCGGATCGAGAAGCCTGAAATATCTCTCCGTTATAGCGGAGCTAGTTTTGCCAAAATAGTGTTAGTGTTTCGCTAACCACTTATTTATTCACGATCTCGTATTCCGGCAATCCTAAAAATGTAGAATCAGCCTATCATTAAATATAATCGTCAAAGGGAATAAGGTAAATTACAAAACCGAGTTAAACTGTGAAACCGCCAATATAAAAGAATATACGATATAGAAAGTTGAGGAGCAAGTCTAAAAATACAACGAGGATAAAATTACTTAATTTGGTAATACGATAAAATTCGGAAAGTTTTATGATGGGATGTTGGCACATAGTTCACTACAACTTTAGGCACAATGATAATTTAGAGCCTTTTTACTATATTTGAGGTCGGGTTCAATTGTTTAATTTTTCAGACTGATAATTTTTACACATTTTAATGCCATTTCCTACTGAGATTTTGACTTTTACAATGATATCTCACCAAATGTTTGAGGAAAATTAACGTGGCGACAATTATTTTGCATTCTATCGAAGTTATTGACTCTATTTTGGGTTATTTTTTTAGTTTTTTTCGCTCCAGTAGAAATGTCAAGCAGTAAAGGAACGACTTCAGTTGATAATCTGGATGGTATAACAAATTTAGCTGAGGCAGCTTTAAAAATAAAAGATGAAGCAAATCAGTTATTCAATGGTCCGTTAACTTTGTCAAAGTTTCTAAAATATTTAAAAATGAATTTTCTTTTAAGTTTAATTTTATTAGATTATTTTTTAATTTAATTTAAATGAAATCTTTTATTTTGAAGCAAAGAAAAAGTGGTGAATGTACCCAGTTTTATCGTTTTTCTTTTTAGAGTTTTTATTTATGCCATCTTAAAAAATTTTCTGAGAAGTTTGTCTTCACTTATTTAAATTTAAATCTAAGATTGGTTTTAGAGAATGGCTGAAGAATTCTGATTCCTGCCTGCTACTATTCAATATGGAGTTCTTAAAAGTGAAGAAATGAAATCCGAAAATTTTTTTTGATCGAAAACTTATTATTTTTAGATCAAGCTTATGATTTAGCTATTGAATTATATTCAAAAGCTATTGGGCTTGATGGGAATGTAGCAGTGTTTTATGGCAATAGGAGTGCTGCATATCTAAAGAAGGAGCTTTATGGAAGTGCATTGGAAGACGCAGCTAAAGCTATTGAATTAGATTCTGATTATATTAAAGGATATTATAGAAGAGCAACAGCTTATATGGCACTTGGAAAATTCAAAAATGCTTTAAAGGATTATGATGCGGTAAGTTCGTTTGTTTTCTTTACAATTGAAATTTATCTTTAACAAATCAGTTTTTATTTCACCTACCGACCAATTTCACCTTTTTTTGATGTCAGGTATTGGAATTATTAGATTTACATTTCTGACATCATCAGGTGCGGAAAGCTCGGCCAGCGGACAAGGACGCCAATAAAAAATTTGTGGAATGTCAGAAAATAGTGAAGCGAATAGCTTTTGAACAAGCTATATCTATGGATCATGACAAACGAAGCATTGCTGATTCTATTAATTTGGATACAATTGGCGCGTTTTATTTCAAAAATTTTTAATGTATTTTTGATCAAAGAAAGATTTATAAAACTCGAAATTTTCTAGATCTATAATTATTAAAATTCAAGCTTATGCTTGAATTCTGTATGTTTCAGAAGTGGAATCTTCATATGATGGTCCTAGGTTAGATGAAAAAATATCTTTGGAGTTCATGCAACATTTAATACAAACGTACAAAAATCAGAGGAAGCTTCATAAAAAGTACGCGTACAAGGTAAAATTTACATCTAATTTAATGCGCTGTATCATATCTCACGCCACTTTTTAAAATATGGAAGTAATTTTTCTATATATTCCTAATGAAATGTATTTTTTCCTTTTTAAAACCTTTTTCTTTTATTTTCTTATCTTTTCATCACCCAGAGACTTTATTTTAGTCGATCTTATCTCCTTAATTTTTTTTAAATTTTTTTGTGCGATTTTTCAGATTTTGTTAATGATTCGAAAGATGTTTGAAAGTTTGCCAACATTGGTTGACATAGAAGTATCTGTAGGTCATAAGTTCACAGTCTGTGGTGATATTCATGGGCAATTTTATGATTTATGCAATATTTTTGAACTTAACGGGTTGCCTTCAGAAGAGAACCCTTATGTAAGTTTGCATTTTTTTAACTGAATATTGTAACATTACACATTTTAAAGGCCTGTTCGAGTTTTCCATTGCATATATTTTCTTCATAGCTTCAAATTTTAGCTTTTTAACGGTGATTTCGTCGATCGAGGATCTTTTTCTGTCGAAACTATATTCACCTTGTTTGGTTTCAAATTGCTTTATCCAAATCACTTTTTCATGTCAAGAGGTAAACAAAATTTTGTCGATTAATATAAATATGTTAAAGATAAAATTAATATCGTATTCAAGATTAATTTGATTGACTTCTAAATCCGAGTACATAGCCTAAGTTACCATTATAATAAAAATTTCTTCCATTGTAGTGCCCGTTTATAGTTTGATTGAATGCATTACTTATTAGAGTAAAATTTTAGAGAGCCATCTGAGAATAGAAGTGCATATAAGTCTCCAGGACTAGAATAAAAATTATTATATTTGTGGAACTGATCAATTAATCTACTAATTTTTATCCTTAATTTATTTTTACTTACTTTACTTGGTCTGATGGAGAGAAAAAAAATAAAATCTTCGAATTTCCAATTTTTTTTTATATTTTTAAATGAAGAAATATTTTCTGGAATGTTTGTCGTTTATTTCATCAAGGCTTAAGTGTTTCTTCACTCTATTTTTAAGGCAATCATGAAAGCGATGTTATGAATAAAATGTATGGGTTTGAAGGGGAAGTGCGAAGCAAATATTCTTCACAAATGGCCGATTTTTTCACAGAAATATTTAACTATTTGCCACTTTGTCATGTTATCAATAAGAAAATTTTTGTTAGTTTTTTTGACCCTTTCTCTGAAAACATATCCATATATATATATATATATATATATAATTTATATAGGATTCATATTTATAATTTATTTCCTCGAATTGTCTTTAGCTCCTTCTTGTATTGAATTTTTTATATTGAAATTTTATATTGAAATTAATTAATCAGGTTTGTCATGGTGGTTTGTTTGGATCTGACAATGTTTCTTTGGATGATATTAGAGCTACTGATAGAGTTCGTCAGCCTCCTGATGAGGGTAAGAATAAATTACATATTTTCGGAAAAATATGTTATGATGTTCTAAGATGTAATTTCTTATGCAAAATTTTTTACTTCTTTTCATATTTTAGGGATAATGTGCGACTTACTTTGGTCAGATCCTCAAGATATTCGAGGTAGGTCAGCATCTAAACGAGGTGTTGGTTGTCAGTTTGGTCCTGACATCACTAACGAATTTTGTGAGAAAAATGGCATAGACTATGTGATAAGGTTTCTTTTGATTTTAATAATCCTTTTCTTTATTCTTTTTTCTTTGCTTATTAGCTTTTTTAGACGTTGGTCTGTATACTGGGTTTGTTGTTAAATGATTAATAATATCAAACCTAATTTTTAGAAGTCATGAAGTCAAACCAGAGGGATATGAATCACATCATGGTGGAAAATGCTATACTGTGTTTAGTGCTCCTAATTATTGGTAATCTTTTTTGTTATGTATTATTATATAGAATTTTTAATATAGAAAGAATCTAAAATGAGGGTTGCAATACTGAAACATTTTTGCAGGTAATCGAATATTTTGCATCATGACTTCACCTCTGCTTTAAAGATTTTTTCTAATTAATTTATTAATTGAGCGATGGTTCTTATTTATCAGAATGTTTTTAAAAATGGATTAAGTCACTCTTTTCAATAATACAGAGCAATACTAATCACAAAAAATAGAAATATTTAAAAAAAGAATATAGTGAAACACCGCTCAACATAGATGAATTATATATAATTTTAAATGTTTTATATACTCATGCATTTTACATTTGATATTTCACGCTAAAATTCTTGTTTTTAATGTATATTCTTTTTACAGCTCGTTTAATTCCTTTTTATCTCATTTAGTGATACGATGGGCAATAAAGGTGCATTTTGCACGATACGAGGTGATGATTTGGAGCCAAAATTCACCTCGTTTTGCGCTGTTTCGCATCCAAATGTAAGTTTAGTTGTTTCGACGGAAGGATAATATAATTCTGTCGATTCAGCTTGAAATGCAGATTATTTTTAAAAAATTAAACTTTATGCAATTTCATAAAAGAAGAACGCAGCATTTAAATATCAATGAATTATAGGTTGTCCCTTGGAAAAACTTCTTTTAACAGGGAGTATCGATTTCAGTTAAGCTGGCTGTGCTAGCCACAAGGGTAATTCCAAGCCCCTTGTTCCGATATATCTGGAAATCCATATGTCTGGGTCGTCTACGCTTTCATAATTTCTCTAACGGCATCAGTCCACATCTTGGTTGGATCCTCTCGCTTTTGAAGCCATCCATCATAAGGCTTAACATATTTTGAGATTTGCATCAATTCTTGTGATCAACGCCGAGGAACATCACTTAAGAAATGTTAGTACAAGTGCTATTTAAACGAAGATAAACACTGTGAGGTTCTATCTACTCAACAAATTACATCTTTGGATTGAATGATCGAAGGCAGATAACTTCTTGATATCGTCCACAGTTATTGGCCGTTTATGTTTCGTAGTTGTGTAAAATGATTATGTGCACTGCTGCTAGATTGTATGAACATTCATTTTGAGGTTGACAACACAACGATTCCATAAAGGTTTCATCTGAGGGAAGAGATTTCCTGATTGCAGATATCCAATCTGGATTTTCATCTTTCACTTGGCCGTTTGTTGCAAGAATGGATCCATCATATCTAGAATTTGATATTTCTTGAACCGATTGATAACTAGCTCAAAAATTTTCTCCACATTATTAGACATAAAGGATAATCAATGTAATTTTTCCATAAATACAAATTTCCCTACCCTCGTAAAATGCATTAATAAGTCTGCTGATCATCTGCATCATTGCACGACCTTTCAGATTTCTGCTTCGTTGTGATGGGATTTTGAAACGATATTCCAGTACCCTTTAGTGATTTCGTTCCATTTTCGTTCCATTGTCTCAAATAGTATATAATATGGCCAGTATTTTTGCTTTGAATCAGTTATAATAGTAGCTAGATCCCTATTGAGGGAAATAGATTTCTTATAAACAAGCGACATATGGTGATATTTGAATAGGGTATTATCGGTTATTACGTGGCTTACAAATTGCGATATTCCATGCAGCTGTGCCAAAGGTCGTGCATAAAGTAAACTACCGTCTAACCTTTTTTTTCTTAACAAATTTAATTTTCTTGTCTCTAGAGGCTTCACCATTAGATTTCTTCGATCTGATTCATATTCTTGTTGCATGCCTCACAGTTTTAGAGGTACCATTCGCGTCAGAATACAGCATTTGGTATGCACTTGTATCGTGGAGTCATTTTGTCAGTTTGAGATAAAGATGTATTTCGGGATCCAATAAAAGTCTGGTTTTAATAGTGGGTCACCAAAAGGGGAAAAAATATAATTTCATAATTACGAAATTATGAATTTATCAGGAAAAAGAAAAAAATATCTGTTAGAGATCAGGTAGAAACCAGAGAGAGAGAGAGGTAATAATCGTTTATTGCTTTAACGCGATAGTCAATGATTGGGCAAATATTCTGAAGAGTTTTTTATATCACTCGATTTTATGAAACAGTGTGTGTTAAACTACCTCTCATGTTTATTCGATCTATGATTAGTAATAAAAGTAGAAATCTATGGAACTAATTCATTTTTATCGTTTTTAAGGACTTTTTTTTAGGTGAAACCGATGGCCTTTGCGAGCAGCCTTTTTGGGTTTGCATAGCGGCAATTCCTCATTATCGTCTCATTCTCCTTTTTTTTGTTGTTTGGTTAAGATATTTAAAATTTTTGCCTTGATGTTATGGAAAAACATTCTATTTTTCCATTTAAATTGGCCTGTGGTTCGTTTGTGTTGAATAAATGTATAAATCGGCCATTTGTTCATTTATATTAGCTACAATGCCGTCAACTGCTATTTTCTATATATTTTATTGTAACATTAAATTTTCACATTTTTTATGCATAATATAGCTTCTGCATTTTGAAAAATTTATTTAGAAATGAAAATTAGTAAGATGCGTTGAGATTTTTATTTTTGCATTTTTTTGGTTTCATGATTTTGTTTTAATGATGTGGCTGAATTCAGGATGTAAAAATTTATCGAAGTGTTTTGGTTTAGAAATGGTTGTTGAGAAATTTGATATGATTATTACTGAAAACGGTAATAAGAAGGTTTCTTATAAACTAATCGAGATTGAAATCGTAAGTTTCTTTATCCTTTTTCAGATCGATGTTGAATTGGAAAAACTGTTTAGATATTAAAAAACGTTGGCGATCAATTTTTTATTCTGGGATGAAAATTTCTCGGAATTTCGCATATTTTTCATTATATAGCTTTCAACAAAATATTTTGAGGCAGATTCAAAGCTGACAGAAAGCGGTTTGAATAGAATTGGTCAAGCATTAGATTTCTTTCGATATAGTGGTACAGCGACTGGCTTTCTTCGTGATGTAGAACCAATCTTGCAAAATGGACCACAGTAAGTCAATTTCATTTCTTTAATGTTTCGAAACAAATTCAATATGATACTTTAAAAGATGCGGACTTGTGGCTCTACAAATGGCTGCAGGTTCATTTGGCATTCCATTCTATGAAATCGATCATATCTTTCAACTGGCTAAAGACAAAAATTATTCAAATCATGGAGAAATATTCTCAGGTTTAATATTATTTTATAACTCTGTTATAGTTGAAAAATCAGCACATAGTTTCATGATTTATCGTTATCAAATTTCGCCATAAGTATGAAAAATATTTTCCCGTTTTCTTTTACTTTTTCTGAAACTATACTTTTTATGCATTTATTACATAATATTTCAATTCAAGTCACTTGGTTAGCAGACTTAGTTGTTTCTTTGTGGCCTAAGCTCGAAACTGTTATTTGCGCAATGCCGGATAAAGAAAGGCTCATCGAACTATTGCTTTTGAATCACGTTATTCTAGTTCCATATGACTGTGATGGGAGAATGGAACCAACTCTTCAACAAGGTCGTTTTGCTCATTGGTGCATCATTGTAAGTTTTATTGATTTTCTAACTTACGATATATAATAGAGAATTATTCTTTATAAGTTTTATATTTTGTCTTTCATTTTACTTATTTATTTAAAAAACAACAAAACAGGATGACAAGCACACCTTATGCTTTTAAAAAGCACAGTAGCAGTTTTAAGATATAAGAAAGGACGTTAGTAAAGTAATTAATTATATTACTGAAATATAATTTTTAAGCAATAAAAGTAATGGGATGGGTAAAAATAAAAGAAAAGAAAAGAAAAAAGGCTTGCTGAATTGACATGAGATTTATAAAGCTATAAATTATCTCATTAATAACCTTATTTTTTTTTCTTAAAACTAGATACAAATGGAGCTAGCACTTCGTTAAATAGATTGGTGAGTAGTATATTTTAGATTGGATATTTAAAAACAAGTGACGTTAATGATGATGATCTTTATGTATTTTGCATGCATGGGAAGAGTCGACGGTTATTTCTATATGATTATTTTTTCCTCGTGAAGAGCAATTGTAATTTGTTTCAAGTGAGCATAAAGCAACATAAATCAAAAACAAAAGGAGTTGGGTCGAGAATTGCTGAATATATTATACCTTTTAATGGCCTAGAATCTCTTAGAAATAAATGTCTTATTCTAAAGTCTTCTTATATATGATTTTCTTAGAAAATTTTTGAAATTAAGTCGCTTGTTCGAGAGGGACAAATATTATTCAGTAACTCAGATTCTAAATAACAGTACTACTCAGTTTATTTAGAAAATTTAATGATGCGATTCCAGTGGGCAGAATGTAGGACAATATCGGAAATATTTTGTTACAGTAGCCAAATGTCCGAATGCAACATGTCATTCTAATAAGAATAAGCCGGATGAGAATATTGCTTAGGTTTTTAATCGTAGTCTTTTGTTTCAGAGGTTACACGATTAACGAGATAACTTGCAGCATTGCGCTAACATGCAAATATGTCACTATCTGAGCAGACATGCTATTATTTTAGTTGGTAATCTTGCTTAAAATAAAAGGTATAACGCGACACGGTATAAAGGTGTAATTCGAACATAAATTTGGAGGGGTGAAAATTTAGCATATAAATATTGCATACGATCCCATTATTTTCCATTAGTTGTGGAATTCCCTAATTCGCGGAGGATTATACGTCATTTCTATCATCTTTGGCAATTCTAATTTTTATGTTTTTAAATATGGATTTGGTGCATTAGTTCAGACTTCGTAATCAGTTTTCTTTTCCATCGTGGGATATCTATTATTTGAATTCCGTTATGTTTTGTAGTGTTTCTTTTAATTTTGCTATAATAATAGGTTTAATCAGCCAAGTTTTGGATCATGTTATGGTGCACGAGTTATCCATACATTTTTTATACAGTATTTATTGAACTGTTTTGAAGCTGTTTTAGCAATAGCTTATTAAACGGTTGTTAGGGGTGGAGTGGTTTTGTATTTTTGAATTTAAAATGGTCTTAAAACGAAAGTATCTATACTGTTACTATTTTATGTTATAGCTTCTTATATAGGTTATCAATCGGAAATTTCAATTTCAAATTTAAAGAATGAAGTTCTTGAACAAAAGGTCAGTGATAGTTGGCTACTATGGATGATCATTTTTGTCTTTGTGAAGTGAAAAATTTAGAAAATTTAAAATTCGAACGAGTCCCATAGAAATTGGTATATTTATATTAAGCAACCGCAGAATTACAATGGATTTTGCCTTTGTTCGTGCGCATATATCGATGTGTATAACATGCATATAATGCTGATTTAAAAATACGGTCGACGAGCTGCTGACTACTCGCAGACCTCAAATTTGCAGTTAATGAATCCAGTAGGAATCTTGTCGAGCGGAAATTTGTTATAATTCATTTTCCTTTGTATACCAGTTCTTGTTTAAATACACTTTATATGAATAAATATTTAGTAATTTGCTGCTTCCTCAATATTTATGTGCTTTCCGTTTTTCGGACGGTATTTCGAATCGGTCTTTTTCAGATTCTTTTTTAGTTTTCGAAACCTTTTATTAAAAGCCTGAATCTCCTTGTAGTGTTTAAATACTGCTTTGGTCCGTTGTTCTCCATCAAACACATTGAGTAGTTCTGTCTTTTTTTAGCGTCTTATTAAACTCATTTCGGCCTAATTTTTTTGAAACACGTTTCATAGTTACTGCATATATTATACTCATTTTTTTGTTTATCAGCGCTGCATATTTTTCTTTGCCAACAATAAATTATTAGTGTATTATACTTGACTTACTATTTGTTTACTTATTGCTGTCATGTTATTATTATTATTATCGTTATTATATTATTATTATTGTTTCTTTTTATTATCATTGTTATTAATTATTATTATCAATTGTTATTGTTATTTATTGTTATTATTATTTTTTTATCAGACATTGTTGCTATTATTAATTAGTATCATTTTTATTCCTAATATTATTATATCGATTAGTATTATCATTATTGTTTTTCGCTATTGCTGTTTACTATTTTAAGAGAATATTTGTTCGAGGAGGTTGAAACACAATGCATTACGAATTTTTCACTTTTTTTCACTGTTCATACCATTGCTGTCTAGTTAGCCCGGCTGGCTGCTAGGGTAAGACGCTTCCAAGCTCGCTAATTGGTAATATGATTAAAGCTAACTAAGTCACTCCTTATCCTAACGCATCTCCCGATTTGTACGCTAAATGTATATGTGTATTAGCAGCCTATGGCTGTGAGACCGCACCGTACCATTTTGTCGTAAGCTTTTTATAACACATTGTTCAGAATATCTTCCATAACGATTTTGATTCATGATGGAGGCCATACAGTGCAAGATTTACGATTTAGTCACTATGGAGAATATATTCAAAGCAACGCTGGCAGCGTTTTCTGATGGTTCCATCGATGTATGTGGCTTTAGAGGACTTTATAAACTTGAATAAATCATTCAAAAAGAAAAATAAAAGAACCCGCGAAGATGAGCAACAGCAGAGGGGAACAAAAACTTTTAAATATAAGTAAATTTATTAAAATAAAGCAATGTTTCGTGGAGAATTCTGAGGAATTTTGAGTTTCCGCTTAAAATCTTTTAGATGAGTGAGATCTTTTAGATAAATCTTTTTAATTTTGATGAGTTTTATTTGTGAGGCTTTTCTACCCTTTTACCAAAAGTTATCAGGTCGAGTTGGTTTAGAATTTACATAATGGTCGAGGAATGATTGAGGGTGAATGAGTGAGGAAGAGTGCTTTGAAATCTTGTAGGTCATTGTCAACTAAATCAGCTTCAACTGTTGCGTTTAAAGTCTTATCGGCTCTGCGCAGACGAAAATGGGTATGTACTATAACTGTTTGTTATACGGATATTTTTCTGCTTTTCAGGTGCAATTTTTGGTTTTTGCTGCTTTCGGTCTTCATTATATTTAGCAATTTCATCGGACTCTTTTGTTTCCATTTTTCAACCTGTGAGACTGCTCATTACTCTTTTACCATTCATTATCTTTTGACATCGCAAACCTTGGAGAATAAGCCAGCCACACTTTCCTAGACCTCTTAAATATCATTTCGCACCATTAAACTGCTTAACTTTCATTATTTTACCCCATTTCCATTTTGAACTTGTTTAGTGTCCTCCTTAGATGCTATCCTAACGCATCGTTTGACTCGCGAAGATGACTACTTTTTCTTCACCGATAGCTTGCAGTTTAGTTTTTTGGTTTTTGAGTGGGTTTTTTTTTTATACGTGGTTTATACGGAATACGTAATTTCGTTTGATCGTTTGACTATATTAATTTGTTTATTTGCTTTTTTCACTCTTTTCCTGCGTGCCACTGTGAATTTCCAGTTTTACATTTTACTCTTTCACAGGTGTCAAAATGGGTGAATTAAATGAAGGAACTATAAAAGAACAGGAATCTAATATTTTAGATTATCCAAAGTCGAATCTTATCCATACATGTAACAAAAGACAGCGTAATCCCGTTGAAGCATGTGCTTGGTATTTTGACAAAGAATATCAGTACGTTTTTTCCAATTTTTTTGCCTGGCTAATTACAGTTGAAAATTTTTATTCATTTTTCAAAAAATTTCTTCTAAATTTATATCCACCTTTTATATAAGAGATTAATTTGATACAAAATTTTCACAATTTCTGCTGTTTTTATGGTTGCTTCATGAGAAATTCGCTTGCTATTTTTGCGAGTTTGAGTTTTCTATTGAATTTTTGAGAATATGTTCAGGAACTTATTGGAACTTTGTAACATTTTAAGTGCTATGTACATTGCTTCACTTTATGTGTGGAGTTTAGTAAATTTGGTAGCTAATTTTCCAATTTGTTTTCCCTCATGTTTTCAATTTTTTTTACAGCGATTATGTTTTTTTTTTTTCAGTTCGTTGAAAGTTAAAGATTTAATAATGGATTATTTCGTTCATGGTGGTTATGTTGATTTGATAGAATTGCTTTGTGAAGAAGCTGGAGATCCTTTTCCAGATTTGGAGCAAGAAAACATCGCATATCGTGAATCTATTCGGAAAGCAATTATTCGAGGCGATGTGAGTTTTTTTTATTGGTTCTGTTTGGTTTACTTGAATATTAGATAAAGCAGATCCCAAAGTCCTGAGAATGTCTATATTCATTTTTTTCCAGATTAATGAAGCTATGGTCTTATTAGATTTGCATGGAAGAAGTGGTATTTGCGATCGAAATCTAGATTTGAAACTTTGCAATCAACATTTAGTTGAGCTTATCCGTTGCGGAAAGGTTGATTTTATGAATCTTGTTCAGTGAATGATGATTTTTTTGTAAGGATAGGAATAGTCTGCGTTGTTATTTCATTCGACTGATTCAGCATCTTCAGAATAATTATTTTTGATTGATTAAATGAACAAAGAATTCAATTTCAATCAGAATTGATGAAATAATATTGGTTTATCGTATAACTACATTTGTGCTGTTTTTCTTATTTTTTGGAAATATTAATTTATGGATAAGCAAATCGATTTCAAAAGTTCTATATTTGCTTTTGCAGACAAATGAAGCACTGAAATTTTCTGAGGAATTTCTGGTGAAAAAGGTAAAAGGAAATTCTAAAGGTAGAGAACAAGTGGAGCAAACATTTTCATTGCTTGCTTTTCAAGATCCAAGCCAGTCACCATACGCGAAAGTTCTTGATGCCAGTCACCGAGAATTAGTTAGTTTTTTTGTTTTTTCTCTAGATCTGAAGAATGAATTATATTAACTTGCCATCCACTAAAATGATCGGAATTTCGCATAAGAGATTTTGCAAGCTAGCAAGGTATTTATAAGCTCCCTCACTTGAATATTATTTTCTTTTAGAGTTATAATGATTAAATTTATTTTATTTTTTAGCTTGCTTATGAAGTTAATGCAGCTTTGCGTGGTACGTTACCGTATGCAGATAATCTCATTAGGATGTTATGTTGGTTGGAATCAGTTTGCACTCCACAAAAAAATTATACATTTACTACTCAAGAAGGACTTAGTGAATTCATTGAATCAATTTTATATGTTAATGGTATTTATGCTCGATCAAAATAGAAAAGAACATCGTATCTAAAAGTCGAACAGTTTATAGTTTAAATGCTTTAAATTTTTCGCATCAATGTATTTTACGTTTTATAAGTGTGCTTTATAATATGAAATTTGAATTCTAAAATTTTCAATCATGTAGCAGTAAGGTATTGAATTTTTGTATTATTAAATATTACTGGAAAAAAGAAACTTGTTGCACATTTCCTATTGGCTTTAGGCTGTTTAACTATTAATTTTGAAGGAAGCACGTTTCCAGTGTAACCACTGAAATCAGCTAAACTGGAAATGGTACGCCCTGTTAGAAGGAAAGGAAAAATGTAAGGATTATTTTCAAAGATTCTGAAAAGAAAGATTCCTTTTCTGAAAATGAAAGAATTGTAAAACTTGAACAAATTTAAATTCACTGAAACCTATTGACGTTTTTCCTTCACATCTATAGAAGTCTCCATTTCCTCATATTAATTGGTTTATTTTCTTGAGTTCCTTTTCTAAAATTTTTTTACAGTGAACAATCTTAATATGACTTTTAGATTTTAATTTTTAATTTTCGACATTCCACATTTTTTTCGACGAAAGCTCGGGATAAAATGTCGCAAAAGGTGAAATTTTTTTTAAAACTGGTCATCGTTTTGTGGTAAAATCTGGCAAAATATAGTTATTTTGAGCGAATGAAGGTCTGATTTATTGTGAACATAATCTCTTTAAATCAGCAGTCCTCATCCTGTATACTGATTGCAAGAGATCCATGAAAAGTTTTCATCTGTTCTTCAAATATTGCGATCTTCAGCTGCGTGTCATAATTAAAAATTACGACAACGCATCCAACCCAGTCCTTTTTATCCTTGACATTGTACCCATTATGCTCATTCGCATTATACTCGCATAAATGCTGTTTTATGCATTTGATAAGGATATTTATAAAATAAAGTCCATAAGCTTCAGGAGGAAGAGGGAATCCATTAGTTACACCAGGCTTCAAAAGTATGCATGGCACAAAGATTGTTAAGAACCATTCATTGCTTGAAATCCTCTAAAACTTGTTTGTGTTCATGTGAATATGAATCGTATGACTGAATTTATTTTAGGGAACTCTAATAACTTCCACCATTACTGGTTAAGCTAGTTCCCTTGGCTATAAGGTTAAAGTGTTTCGAAGCTACTGACATACCTGATAGTAAAGGAAACCATTTCTCTTTTCCTCTTTTTGTCTTCTAAGCCTGTATTTCGGTAGGTTGTTTGGTATTATAGTGGATTTTAGATATTTAAAATCTGGCATATCTTCAACCTATGGTGAATTGATAAAATGGACATTTTATCAGCATCTGAACAAAAAGTTTTTTTTATTTACATTGGTTCAATTTTTGCAAAGTGCATTGTTTAACATCTTTTGCATTTCTTCATAGCTATCAGTAAAAGTGGCTATATACTCAAGATCTGTGATACTATATTCTGGACTAGCATTTCTTGAGTGCTGACCAATGCTATCCATAATCCAGTCTATCGCATATATATCCGATATAGGGAAAGGAGGAAGCTTGATGGATTTCAGTTCTTGTCTTGTTTCGAAACGATTTGTCAATTCCTCATACTGTAAAAAAAATAGATCAATAAAATTATTGATCGGAAGCAGAGGGATGATGCTGGCCTGTCACGCGTTTTAGGTAACCTAATTATAATAGGTAACCTTGATCTGACTGTTTTATCAGGACAGTAGAAAGAACACTGAGATCACCGCGCGTACAATAAAAATCTTTATTCGTTAACTCAAAGTTGGGAAATTAAACCAAATAGATTAAAAGGCAAAACAAAAGAAAAGAATAAAGAGGGGACACATTAAACGAATGAATATTTTAATTTGTTCAATTAGCGAGCATTGCACTGTGGTTGGTTGTGACAACAACCAACTCTACGCGGTTTGCGGTTCAAACTAGCAATATCTTGACCTCCATCGCTGCTTTCTGCCAGGTCCGCCTGCTACTGGCGACAGCCCTTTCGGCTTTTTGTCCAAGAACTTCACAGCATTTTTTGCAGTCACCTTGGACTGGACTGGTTTGTTACTGCGTTAGATTAATATTAATATTAAAATATTAATATTGAGACCCAACTGCTTGGGTCCCTTAATGGCGCCTAAAATGGCATAAGAACGATATGGCGCTTAGAAAAGGGAGAAGGATGATATGGCACCTTAAAGTGCAGAAGAAAGATTTTCATAAGTATACAACATATATTGTAAATTGTCCTTTATGTTCTATTGACATATAAAGTGTAATAACTAAAGAATCGATTAAGAAAGTTTTCTTTGGCGGGTCGGGGTCATCGGTTTGAAATAATGATTTAAGAAGAGATATTGCATTTCGCGACACATACAATGCAGATGCTGACTGGTAAAATACCTTTATGAATCAAACGATCTTCTCTGGAACACTCCCTCATCCTCCAGAGCGCCTCACTATTAAACAAATCAAAGGCAGAGGCAAAATTATTGAAACAAGTGGGTTGTTAATATTTAAAGCGATGTTTTAACACCATCAACATGAATATTTGATTAGCATATTCGCGCCTTGGTCTGAATTCGGCTTGATTATTAGGGCGCACCCTGTTATCTCGTATGCCATAAGTCTTTAGCAGAAGGAAGGCGAAAATTTTCCCAGAGACGTCTAATAGGCTAATTATAATTATACTCTCATATTTGAAATAGGGCAGATAAGTTTTCAGATGATAGCCTAAGAACGCCATCGGAAAGTTAGATAAGCTTGGTTGCGATTCGAACCGTTGTTACATTCCATATTAATCGGCGGCAATTGTCGTAGCATATCCTATTACCCCTCTTGAGAATTGGCGATAGATTTGCTTCGCTGCAGTCATCGACATTATTTATTTATTTATTGAAACCAGCCAAGCTTGTATTATTAACAAAAGTTACAAAAAAAACAAATAATAAAATATAAAATAATAGAATAAAAGAGAAAAATAGAAATGACAAAAATTAACAGTTTAAAGAGGAAACAAAGAGGAAATTGCAGAATAATATAATATAGTATAGAACAATTCGAAATAACTATTATATAGTCGGATGGCAAAAGTCTAGATTTCACATTCCTCTATGGTGTGAACTTTTTAAATAATATCATAAGAACATTGTACATTTGTACATTTTGATAAGAAAATCTTCAGTTTTGTTTTTAAACGAACGAAGAAATGAAATTTGGTATCTTTGAGGATTTCTTTACCATGGTTCTGCAGTAAGGTCGAAATCGAGATTTTCATCCATGATTATTCCAAGATAGGAAATGTGTGAGACTCTACTGACTGATTATATTACTATTAATATAAAGATTAAGAAAATCGAAACCTTTAGAATTGTCTCTTTTCTACTAAAAAGTACATCTTTTGAAGGTGATTTATGAAGAACCTTGAAAAAAATTGAAGATTTCAGTCCAAAAATAGTCTTCTCCGAGGGTTTTATTGGCCTTAAGATTCAGAATGAATTATTTCTTGCTCCATGGCTCAGGAAGCGTTTTAACATTATAGCTGGGCATAATAATCAAGTTTGGCCTCAAAGAATTCTTTCCATCATATAAAACAGTTTTTGATATATCGTTAATAGACACGGCATCATTATCATTCGATTTCGAATCATTCGATTGATCGTTTCTCGAGTTATATTTACTAAAGGAAACAGAATATTTTTTGTTATAACCTACTCGAGCAGCCATCTCTATATTCTCCTTTTAGTGGCTTGAACCATTGTTGGTTTGGCATACTGACGACTTTCCAAGCCTTTCGATCTAATACCAATTCTAAAAGTAGCTGAAACGACTTTTTTTCCAGCGCCCAAGCCTGTATATCGCAAGGGCTGCCTATGCGTTTATAATTTTTCTTGACCGTATCATTCCAAGTCTTGATTGGTCCTCCACGCTTTCGATGCCATTCATCAAAGGATTTAATAAGCGAGAGATTTACGTAAATTTCTGTGATATGCGACGAAAAAGGTGCCCTAATCAGCGTAGACGATGCTTTATGACGATATTCTTAATGTAGATGGTATTAGAGCGACGATAAGAAGATGCAATCATATGAGACTTTGTCCACTTGACGAGTATACAGGATGCATCTCAGGCAAGAATAGTCAAAATAGCTTCCTGATATATTGCACTCTCATTGGTCAAATTACGGCGATATAAAGCAGGATTCTGTGTATTAAACCAGATGTGAACTTTTTTTTTAGACCGATTTTGCGGGATTTCAGAGGTTTTTTTAGGCGAAAGAGATCTTTGGCTGCAACTATCCAAACCGGAATTTTATCTATCGTCTGGCTATTAGGTGTGAGATTAGATCCGAGATATTTAAAATCAGACACTTCTTCGACCATTGATGATTTATTTGAAGTGCATCTTATTAGCGCCTGCTATATAAGATGAAAAGAGTTTCGTCATATACATTGATTTGAAAGCCAATTTTGCTGCAGGTGCCAAAAGTCCGTCGTCTAGCGTCCGTTATTCTTCAAAATTATCATCGAAAAGGATAACATCATCAGCATATTCAAGACTATATTACTATACTATCTCTGGACTGATTTCTTTTCCTCTTGAGTCCAGCAAGCACTATCCATAATCAAATCTATGCAATTAAAAATTGACGAGGAGAAAACTCAGTCCTGATGCATATCGGTACATAATTCAAAAAGTTGTTTCAATTTCTCAACACACACAAGCCTGCACTGACATATGCCGCTAAAGTACTTTGATAAGTCTGAATATTTATTTATTTATTCATTTATGCACAAATATCATTTGGTAATATAGTCCGAGATGATTATGGGGTATTTATTATGGCTCTCAAACGTCACATGTCTTACGATGAAGAGTTTTCTAAGACGAAATCTAATCATAATGCATAATCCAGACATATCCCAAATCAAGTGAAACCGTCACAACAGCTTAGGATAACTTGCCAAGTAAGGTTAATAAAATAGGAAGTAATTTATCTTATACATATTTAATGCAAGAAGTTTAAAATATAAATTTTATGACTTATACAACTCCTATTAATTGATAACCCAAATAGTATTTTTTGGATTAATGAAACGTGGTTGGATGACTCTACTGATAATCGGGAATTAAACTTCGATGGCTTTCTAGTATCACGAAAGGATAGAGCAATAAATTAGTTTAAATACTTGTGGAGTGGGCTTATCACGTTTATTCCTGGTTATTATAGATTTATAACTTTTGATGATTTTGTCTAATCCTCTTTTTTTTAATCTTTAATAACTAAAATTTATCTCAATAATAAAAACATTTTCCTTTTAAATATATACCGTCCACCTGGCTATTGTAGTATATTCACTAGGGATCTTTATAACCTGTTATTTAGATTAAAAATATTTGGTACCAATTATGTAATTGTTGGCGATCTAAATATGCCAAATATAGATTGGGAAAATAATTACTTGAAAAATAGCAGCAAATTTGAAGAGGACTTTCTAAACCTTTGTATTTATATAGGTCTAGAGCAATATAAGATTGCCACTAGGTATAATTTTAGATATTATGCTAGCTACTTCTACTTCTTTTGTTGATAGCATTAAAGTCTTGGAACTTTTTTGTAATAGTGATCACAACATCATTCATGCTTTTTTAAAATTAGATACTTCCCTCATATACTTCCCTCGAGATATTCTAGAATTTATCTTCACTGTGATTATGAAATCATTAATTTTATCCTCGCAGAAAACTGGGATTTCTTATTCTGTTTAACTCCCTCTATTGATGAAAAAGTTAACTTTCTTCGTAGCATCATTTTATACCTTATAGAGCAATATATCCCTCTAAGAAAAAAAAGCGTTAAGTCGACTCCCATTTTTTTAAAATCTCTTAAAAAAAGTGTCAAGAAACTTTATAATAAATACAAATTAACCAAACTGCCAAGTGACCTCTCTTCATATAAAGAATGCTTAAGAAGTTTCCACAGTGCCATTCATAATTACTTTTCAAGTAAAGAAGTGCAACTTTTAAATATTAATAGAAATTCTTTC